GGAATGTAATAATGCTCACGTTACTGTTTTACGGCAGAAATAGGTAAGGTGGCTGTACTTCCCTGGACGAACTCTTCCACAAGGAGTGCTACTGCTACCAATGTAAAACCTTTGGAATAACGATAGCTCAGTTGGTAGAGCGGTGGCCCTGGTTTGGTACAGTCACAGGTTCGAGTCCTGTCAGGCCGAAGGTCTTTTTTGTGTTCGCCCATTTATTAATAATATAACAAACTAGTGGAGCAATTTCCCGAAAAATAAATGCATATCATGATAGTAAAAACCATCATGATATGCAATAAACTTTGAAACTCGGTAGTACAGTAACACAAAGCTAGATCTATCATCGTAGTGAACCAAAAATTGGGTTCTTTTATACGTGAAACCCGGAAAATAAAAAAAACGATAACCCGAAAAAATATTCATAGTAAAGTTGCGACACTAATATCATCGTAAAATTTTCAACAGGGTACCTGCGTAAAAAGCACTGACGTAACACGCCTGCGGGCTGTCAACAAAAGTGTTAAAGCTCGAAAATAATATAGACACCTATTGCCACGGCAGAGAACTTTTATTACAGTACAGACGATTTTTATTACACGAACTGAAATATGTTAACTTGTATTTGATATGAAAGATAAATTGAGCGCGGTGATCTAGAATGAATTTATGAAGATATCTGATATTTAACTATGAATTTTATTTCTAAGATACGTACATTTGTGAATGTGTAGTCTCTCACTAATTGTAAAGAAAAACATCGTAAAGAAATCAGCACGTAGAAGAAGATTTACAACTGTACGACGTAAAACTTTGAGGAGACCCGTGCTTTCTTCTTTGTCCCGGCCTTATGTCCTATTTCTTTTGGCGTACTCCTAGTAAGCCACTCCAGGTGCTTTTGCACAAGTACAGGGTCTACAGGCTCTTTATATCACTGTTGGACGGATCCAATCCAAGTGTCAAGACTTTCTTGGTCATATAGTGGTTATCTCTGCGCATTACTACGCATAACGTAATCGGCTTTAAAAAGCTTTTAGTTTTTCCCATATCGTCGTCTTAGAGTGAAAATCTCGTATGTGACTCCGATGTAATTTTTCAGGATGAAGATAAAAATGTGGTGTAATATGTAGTAAATGCACGCAAATGCTAGTATTTTAATTAGTTAAATTATACCTCTTTCAGTTACTATATTACTTTAATAATATATTTGAGCAAGAAATTTATAAGCTTTTCATCAACAAAAACCAGTAAAAATGATCTATGTGAAAACGCGTATGCGAGGTTCTCTCTCTAAGGCGTCGATATTGGAGCCACTTTAAATATCCTCAAAACATACTCGTTTCTATATTCATCTAACAGATATATATATATATATATAGACCTAGAGATGACTCTTGCCCAGTAAACGTATTCTGGCCTGACCATGACGTTGCGAGTTTCTTTTTGAAACGAATATTATATTTTTATAACATTAAAGGTGAAAAAGTATGAGAAAAAAAGCAAACAAAAAACATGTAATAGAAGAATTTAGAGCAAAGGAAATCGTAAATCATCTGAAATGACTGATGATTTAGGTGACCTAATTTTGAGGTTCTCAATTAACGCACTATTTCCGAGCCTGTTTATGTTGCCAATATTTGTGGAAAAACTCGATAAACGCTCTTCGAGGACACTATTTTCAACAGCATGAAAAACAACACTCGAGTACGCGGTGTTTTATATTTTATTCGCAAAGAATATCGGTTTTGACATTCACATGTACTCTTACAGACATTGAAAAATGACTTGTTATTAAACACACTAAAGTAGCTATTAATTTTTCAATAAAAAAAGGACAAATACTGAATATTTAAAGTTAGCTATTTCTATTTACATTTCTGTTGACAAATAGCTGTTACAGATAGCAAGTTTGCAATCTGAAATAATGTTTTATCTTTGTTTGTCCTAATTCATGTTGATGCATTGCATACTAATTAGCTACAACATTACTTGAGTATTTTGAAGGAGAGTAAGTAGTAATTGTATCCACACATTTTGTTTCGATGTGAAGACTGAAGTAAATAATCTTTAAAACAAAATGTCCTGAACATTACTAAAGCGTGGTGCATTTAAGTATAGGCGATTATAACAACAAAACCGATGTATCGGTGTGGGCCGGGCTATTCGCGGCGCACGCGCCCAAAATACCCCTTTTCACACGGCCCCGTCGTCGCCAGTGCCTCGTGGGTTGGTCACAGTGTCTTTGATTAACCCTCCTATTAGTTACATCATGACTTTAAGTTAATGGGAATCTTAAGGGAATTTTTATAAGTAAAGTAAGTTGAAGCCGTCCCAGTTCCAAAACAGTTTAGTTTACAAACGGAGATTGTATAGTGATATTAGGGAGAGGTCGGAATTGGACATGTAGTAGGGTGCTGCTCGCATAAAAACACAAATACAACACTACAAATTATGCAACTCCGAGCTATCGCTACTTAATATCATTATAGTTAGACCCGTCACTTGTTTTGATGACATTTTTTTGTGGAAACCTATGTTTATGATAAAAATATGGCCTAAGTCTTAAACGCCTTGGTTGAAACGAACAAGCTATGAATGAACGGTTTACCTGTACGCAAAAAGAACATTTAGATGAGAACACTTCGATTTCGGACTCTTTATAACGTCTGGAGACGGAAACATAATTATTTCCGGAACAAGGAAACAAACAAATACTCTACCTCTCATTTTTCCCAAATAGGAAAATAAATAGAAAACGCTTACAAGCACAATCGTCAGCTAGCTAGAGTTATTTGTAAAACAAAGTTCGTTCGATCTTTTAATTCAAATTCATGCTCGAAATTCAGATGTTATTCTAGGGAATAAAAAGCTATTTTAATTTAGGAACATACTTTTCATCAACATTTTACGCTACAATCACCCGGATTTTAATAACTGATATGTACGTCTCCCTCTGTGAACTATTGCTAGATCAAATGTACGCAACATTCATCATTCATTGAATACGTCAGGTAATAAATACAGTTGAACACGTCAATACTCTCATATGTCCTTTTAATAAGTCCCCTGACCGGCACTTATTGGATTTAAAAGAGAGCTTTGCTTGCTCCGTTGGAGGCTATAAAAAAGCCAATTCAAGCAACACTGTTAGTAAACAGCATGGAAATAAAACCTGCATTGTTTGGAATAACTAGTGCCCATTGAATCGTCAATATTGAAACTATCGCCTCTAATATGCCCTCACTATAAGCTATTTCACTTTTGCTTTGAGTCAACACGAGTTATTGATTGCAGAGCGACTACAGGAACTTGAGTCATTTATTATTAAAACACGTTGATGGAAAAATATTGATCAGTTATGTCCACTCGTACAGAACTTTTGGATCGAATACAAATTACCTTCATTTCTCAATAAACGTAAGCCAATTTATCACCGTATTTACCGTATCAACTGTTCCAACAAATTGTATTAGTGGGAAAACAAATCCTATTTTCATGTTTAGAACAACCGTGAAGAGGTTGTGGGAAAATAAACATTTGCTACGTAAATTTTCGTTGTGCCTTATTAAGCCAAAATGTTGTTTATAAGGCCCGTATTAATAAACAGCGCCTAAGTTCGATATAACGTGCCAATATGTAGAGATTAATTGCAAGAAGCTTTCCTGTATTAACAAACCATCATACAGTTGCAATGGGGCTCTGAAAAAGTTCGTTCAAGGAAGTACCACTACCATACCTCTTTCTGCCATCACCAAGGTAAGCATTATAATGTGGCGTACATCGATATGATACGATAAGAAGAAGATCTATTTCTGCCGCCAAGCAACAATGTGAGCAGTGTTTTGGTTTTGAAGGATAACGGTGCTAGTAAAACTACAGGCAAATGCGGTTGCCGACTTTGTGTCTCAGGGTAACGGTTGCAGTGGCAGTGCCTCTAAGAATTTGCGATTTAAAACTCTGAGTGGCACTGTAACTGTTATGGGTAGGCGTGTAGTTTACCATCAGACGCACGATTTGTTCGCCCTGTAACTTAGTATCATAAATAAAAATTGGTACGTTGAGTTACCATCTCAAGTGACCAAGAACTAGCTAAATACTGATTAGGACTTAATAACGGTCATGAGCAGAAATGGGCAGTGGGTTAAAACCCAAATATTTTCATGTAAAAAATATTTTTTACAAGAAAAAGAGAGAACTTCAGGCGGTTGTGGATCTAACGACTTTTTGTATCGATTTATTTCAATACGATTTTCAAGCGTATCGATCAGAAAGCAATAAACATTTTGCAATAAATCATTACATTTGAACAAAACTCGATTTACAACAAATATTTAATTGTAAGTAGTTTTGGCCCTCGATTTAATGGGCTTTAAGCCGATTTAAACCCGGCGTTACAAAAAGCCGAGTAAAAACTCGGGTGCTTGTCCATTTCTGGTCTTGATTGCTGAGTGACATTTATTAATGAGTGCAAATTTTTAAAACTCTCTAACAATGCGTAATCAATCAATGATGTGCTTAAGCGAGTCATTTATTAACAAAAACATTTGACTCAAGTAAGTTCTTAGGAGACCTATACCCAGCAGTGGGTGTTAACGGGCTGAGATGATGATGATGAAGTTCTTAATATCAATCCTGCACTTGAGTTTGATTTATTAATACCGACGTTACAACATACCCAATATAGTATACAGGTTGTAATAAAAAGATGCATAGTCAAGAGCACATCGAGCTTAACACTTTGGATCGATCTTATTACAAACGGCTTAGAGTTGTATTTAAATTTAAAGTGACAAACTTGACCGTCTACCTAGATATTTTGGTGTAAACAGACTGTTGAATTGGTTAAATAAATCCGTCAAAGACGTCATTCATTAGTAGAGATATTCATTCGTTAACATGAACAACTTTTACTGTACTAAATAAATAAAATATACTATATACCAAACGAATAAATAATTTTTATTAATTAAGAATCTATAGCTTGAAAATTTAAGTGACCTTACCCATTTGGCACGTCTGTGCTCAGCTGGTCCAGAAGTGAATCCACTGTCGGCCTGGACGACGCAGGGCTTGTAGCGCCATTGGTGCGAGCATATCCATCTATAACAATTTAAATAAGAATTTAACACTTAGAAATTTAATAAATACTCATATGAATATTAAACATAATGTTACTTTACACTCCTAAACGTAAATAGATGTCTCTGACTGTAGCGACTATATAACAATATCGACCACAACAAAGTGTCATATGATAGAAATATCTACATTTATATTTAGATGTCGAAGTACGCTGATTATGCGCAGGATTTAAAGATGCAATTATTTGCCAAAGGCCTAGATTTATAATAGAACGATGAACGAAGAGATGCCAAGTAAAAATTGGAATGAAGCTCAGATTTCAAATCATTCCTTATTTCTAATTATGAAGTCGATTTACTAAGGTATTTGGTTACGAAAATTGAGATAGAAAAAAGGGCTTATTTTCGTTGCGTCCCATAAAATGTGCCCCATTTTTGTAGCGTCCGAAAAGATGAGTGTGCAATTTTGGGACTGTAATTATGTCAACAAAATAACATTTATTTACGATTCGTTTAGTCTCATTTAACAATTTGGTTTTAATACGCATGAGAATAAAAATTATTTCACTAATTCGTTTGTTAGTGGTCAGATAAACATTACGATAGACAATACATGTCCATCCAGTCGCACGAAAGGAAACTACGTATGACCATCCTCTAATCCTATTTGTCAAAAACTTACTCCCGTATTTTCTTTGAATTGTTAAAATTATTTGGTTGTATTATTATACCGCGCGTGATTTTATATAGTAATAACGCCTTACATTAAGAAAGGGGCACATTGAAACATAAATAATTTGGGGCACAACGGAAATAAGTACATACACAAGTGCTTGTCATAGCCGTACAAATTTGGTCTCTTATTTATTACTGTGTAGAGGATATGCAGCGAACGCGGCAATGCAAACATTTTCTTTTCTATATCTTCTACTAAGGACGAGAATAAATTTCTTACGCAAGTCAGACATCGCATAATCCGTCTTAACTAGAAGGTACTTGTTGTGTACATGTTTAACAATTATTAATACTACTCACACACCCTATGCCTGTATATGTTGTATGTACATCTGTTAGTGCATTCTGATTCAGTTTTATCTGTGTATGGACAGAGTTGTGTATACAAAACACAATTAAACTTTAGTGATGGTAAACGACCTTCAACTTAATTCGATACAATTTAATCAAACGTAATCGAATATATCTGTATTTCATAGGTTTTTTCAACAAATTACACTGGAAATCGTGAAATTGATCAAACACTACTATTTATTCGTAAGGTACATTTCACTGCCTCTACGCCCTTCAACCTAAGACATAAGTTGTAAAGTCCTATATGCCTGTAATTTCACTAGCACCCTTACTTACTCTTCAAAACCGTAACGCAATCATACTCATATTACTGCTTGGCGGCAGAAATAGATATAGTGGCAGTACTTCCCTGGACGAACTCTTTCACAAGGAGCTCTAGTGCTACTAAACGATTACTGACTTCTGATAATTTCTTTAAACTTATCTCTACGAGACGCCTAAGGCACTGAGTGTTTTTGCAGGTAAAAAATTCTATTAATGTCGGAGGCATTATTCCAAAGCAAATTGCCGCATCAATATAATCAATGTACAATGGACGCAAAAGTAGATTCTCCTAATGCTTAGCACTAATTAGGCCGGCGTCCAAAACTTTCAGTCGCTCGGTATTACAGCGGAAACAGGTGGGCTGGCCTGCATCTTCAATGCCTAGAACATCCATAAAACAACAAATTATTTTGTGTTTATTTCGTTCTTTAGTTATCTTAAGACACTACCAGATCTCTATTTACTCTGACCCTTTTAAATAAAAAATATATATAAAAAACACGTAAGAATAGGCAACTATATATCCTTGAGTAGACGTTATATAAAAACACATAATATAGTCAATGACATATGAAACATATGACATATGTATAATATTACATGAAAATACATGACAATTTAGTTTTAAAATTGTGTTAAGTCGCAAGCCCGAATGGATGCATGTTTCAAATACAAAAGAGCAAAATGTATTAGCTGACATACAGGTGTGTTAAAGTGACGAATGAATTAGAAGAGCATATTCCTTGGAACTATGACAAGATGTAAGCAAAACTGGCAAAAGTAAACGTATTTACGTCGTATAACAAAGTAGCTAGTTTGTTTTGGAGACAGATGGGTAAACTTAATGACAAGATATACTCGTGTGTGTAATCAAGGAGCCAGTAAAAAAATGTACCCCAATGATATATGTGAGAAAGATGCGATTAATACGGCTACACACATTGTCAACCGGTAAGACTAAGCCCGATAGCTATAGATTAGGAATCAGTTGACTTTAATCTTTAATTCATTGGTCATCATGAAACAGACGAAGACGTCAAATTTTGCTTTGTAACATCACATGTATGTTTGACAAAAATTATCTAATTTAAAAACAATGTACCTAAATTTCTAGTCGTGGAACTGCGGAGTTCTCTAACACAGGTAGGTATATTTTGCTTATTAGAAAGCTCCACTTTACCATTATGCCATGATTATTGAAATGAAATAACGTTATTTATTGTATAGGAAATGAAACTATTTTTCTGGATTTAAGTCGCGTATATTTGTTGTCAACCGTGACCATGGGGACCTGTAAAGGGGCCGAAACGTTCAAATAATCGCGAAAACCTCTCGATATGTTATTTATTGTATCTAATACCCCCTTCGTTGAATCGTACCTTTCCTGCATAACGATTGATGCAGTGCACGCAACTATTGAACTGACCTGCCGCATACTTCACGCGTCCCGGTACGGTTTTCGCACAAGTTGAATGTAATTGCGTTTAATAACCAGTCGCCTAAAGCCCCGCCTTCGAAGATTTGACCAGACGGATTTGGTCGGAACGTCGGAACTGTCCAAGCTTGTTTGACAACTGATAGCGTGTAGGGCACATTACGAAATGGTTGATGATTGACAAATTCTCGCGAAGGTTATAATATCGTTTAACCGATAATAACAAAAAAATCAAACAATTAGTAAACATCAATCAGAAAAAGTGCTCGGAGTAACTGATTTATCATTTTACAGCAACACTTTTCATCTGAAATAAAAGTATGGTTGCCAACATTTCATGACTCTATTTGAATGATTTCAAGTTTTAGATCAAAATCAGATTAAGAATATAAAAGATGTGTATGTCTTTTCATTTAATTATGTTTCGACACGTATAGAAAATCAAATCCTTTCTATGCGCATTGAAAAGACACAATTGATGTTCAAAATATTAAAAGTAACTCAGAAGTTAGAAAGAAACGACACATTTTACGTTCTAGTAATAATTTTGCTAAAAGGGGACAGAGTTTTCCCCTAACCATTTTTTTGTGTGTCTGTTGAAATTTCAAAACACTCATATTGGTTTTCTGCATGGTTACTTAATTTGATTAAAAAAAACAATATTTTTCATTATTATTAAAATAAGCGAATCTGTTAGTTATTTTAAATAAATATGGTCGCTGATATCCTTAAACATAAATAATTTGAACCTCAATGTCGTGCGCAAGGTCACATTTGAATATATACAACATAGATGTCAATTTATTTTAGTTTTACTTCAAGACTACGACCTTACCAACACCTGCCATCATAATTTTAACGAACAGTATCATTCAATTGATGCTCTTGATCAAGTAGTTGTGATATTTGAGACAAACGAAGCGATTTATTGGGAGTTTTATATTGTTTTCGTATCCGTAGCGCACTATAGAAACAGTTAAGACTAGTTAGCGGTAATAAAAAATGCGTCAAGTATAGCCAAGGTATAAGAGTAACATTATTCAGAAGATGTTACCATATAAATGTGTTTTGGAAAAGTAAAAAAACGATAGATTGTTTGAACCATGATAATATTTATGAAATAACTGAACAACAAGATGATGAGTGGTACCAATGTGTTAGTGTGGTAAACAATCGGTTACGTATAGCTAGTCGAAATTAGTTTAGTGTATGATCTATTTCTGTGCAGTCGAGGGAAATGGCGGTTGTGGCCTTGCCAAGAACAACATTCGGATATTAGTATTAGTTAAAATCAAGGCGTTATTTATTAACATCGCATAAAATAACATAACGGGATAACATAGGATTTGTTAGGGTAAAAGTGTATGTAATGGGTTGATATGGCTCGTTGTTTCCGTTAATAAGATCGACCTGTTCATTAACTTGTTACTAGATTGTATATCCCGAAATATGAATAGATACCAAAAGTATGTCAAGCTTGATATTTAAGATTTAAATAAGAACCGTTCAAAGTCCAAAGTGTAAAGCCTGATGTACTCTTACACCTTTATTTTGCATCCTGTATAATACGCTGAGTATAAAATTGTACAGCCCGCATTCATAAATATATTAAGACCTTACTTAACTCAGCTGACATGAAGTCGTCAGTAAATTAATTTAACGGGGTTTTTACCCTGTATTTGTACTTGTACTTGGTGTAACGGGCTAGTGTCCGCAACTCGACGTCAAGGCGCCTATTTTGCGTGTGGAAACCCTGTATTTATTTTCTATTGTTGTTATAGTGACAGCGAAAGTTTTAAAAATGTTGAAATAAAATATTTACTGCACTTTTCTTACTTCGTTTGCATAAATTTCGTAATTTTATTATTGATTACACAAAATACGTTATTTTATAATTTCGGCAAGATTTCAATTATACTTAACAATTTGTCGTAAAACAAAATTACAAATCTTTCAATTTTAAATTACAAATTTTTGTGGTGAGTTTGTAATTAGATTACAGAACTAGAACGCATATCATACGTCAGGGTAGAGCATTTAAATTTGAGTTTAGACTTTAAATACGATTTATTCGCATTTTATATCCTTTCGCATTTTTAATATTTTTAGAACATTAAATACAACCACGGAACGAACAAGTCTTGCGCCTGTTAGTAAGCGACGCGCATATCCATAACAGTTTCAGTGCCACTCAGAGCTTTAAATCGCAAAGATCTTATGGGCACTGCCCC